ACTCCCGTAGTGAAGGATAGCCAGAGTAGACGCGGCCCTTTTCAGCGAGCGAGCGACCTTGCCCTACGAAGGCCATCCAAGAAGATCAGAGGTGCCTGCACAAGGGCGCGGCAAGATGGGTGGTCATGGCTTTGGGCGGACACCTCCTGCATTGACACCACCAACAGTGCACAGCTATCGGAGACCATCAACTCGATGTTCACCTTATACCGTAATGCATCTATGTGTTACGCTTACCTCGAAGACGTGCCCTCCGGCCAAGACCTGTACCCTCTTCACTCTTCCTTCCGGAGGAGCCGGTGGTTCAAGCGTGTCTGGACGCTCCAGGAGCTCATTGCCCCTCCGGCTATTATCTTCCTCTCGTCCGACTGGCGCCGCATTGGCTCCAAGTGGAGACTCGCAGAGCTCATCGAGTCGATCACCGGAATCGACCGCCTCGTACTCACGCACAAGCGTCCGCTCGAGGAAGTCAGCGTGGCATGCCGCATGTCATGGGCGGCGACACGCGAGGCGAGGCGGGAGGAGGATCGCGCATACTCGCTCATGGGTATTTTCGGGGTCTGCATGCCAACCATCTACGGGGAGAGGGAGCGCGCGTTCTTCCGGCTGCAAGAGGAAATCATCAAGCGGACGCCCGACCAGAGCATCTTTGCATGGGGCCGCGCTCTCCACGACCACGGCTCTGGGACGCTCATCGTCACGGCGCAGAAGCACGACTACGACTCGCAATCCGACATGGAAGGGCTCTTCGCGACCTCTCCCGCTGACTTCCGGGGCTGCGCGGACATCAGTCCGATCGAGCTGTCGGACTTTGCGACGCTGGCAGGGCTAGAGCGAGAGAACGTGCCCATATACGCCCAGACTGGTGCCGGAATCTGCACGACACTGCCGATCGCGCATAGCCCAGACTCTCAAGACACCCAGCTCGGTCTGCTCGCCTGTGTCGACGGGAACGGACGACTGGTCGCGCTCTACCTACGGGCCCACCCCAACATGAGCAGCAAACTGCTCGTCGGCGGCTTCGTTGCGGAGGGCGGACGGCGTAACGCATACTGCCGCACGACGCGCCTGAACCTGAGTGAGAAGTTGCTCGTTTCGCCTGTGCTTCTCAAGGAGGTGATCATCCACTCCTCTCGGCCGTTCTCCACTAAGGCGCTTTCATCGTCGTCGAAGACCGCGTCTACGGCGTCCCACAGCTCCTTCATCTTCTTCCAGCCCCCGTGTTCAATCACACTGTCGCAGTCATCCCAGAAGGAATTGCAACGCATGGGATACATACTCCCTGTCATTCCCGACCGGGGCTTTCGGCTCGCGTCCGCAGGGGACACCCGGAGCCTCTCCTTCCTCGGCGACCGGAGCTTCACGGTCCACTTCGGAGTGTGTGCGCTCGACGCGAAGCCAGGCTCTACGCAGAACGCCCAACTGTGGGCATCGGCCGCGTTCGACTCGTTCGCGGATCAGGATTCGCTGTGCGCGGCGCACTCCGAGATGGACGATTCTTTGGACGCGTGCGAGGCGGAGAACGCCGGGCCTTACCCCACTCAGTCCGCGTTAGTGCAATACTGGAAGGATCACCAGAAGACGTTCGGAGAGCGCGGGAGGGAGGTGAGGCTGACGTTTAGTTATCCGTGTTCAGCGTCCGACTTGGCGCCCGAGCGGGGTATGGCGGAGATTTATGAGCTGGAGGTTAGCTTCCGGGGCTACTATTCCCAGAACCGTCGACGACGCCATTATAAGGGTAGCGCCGCTTCATATAGCATTGGGAGCATTAGTAGTCGGACGACTCATGGGCATTGATCTTACGGACGCTCGAGTGGCCTCCATACTAGTGGTAGGAGTTGATTTAGATATCCACGTAAGATTGATACCCCTTTACGACTTTTACGGAAATACTTCTAACACTGGTTTGAGACTCCGTGCATGCGATAGTAGTGTTACATACATTGAACACACAGTGCGGACATTCACTCGTTTTGGACACAGAAATATACCCGTGGTTTTCGTGTACCCCGTGACAGTAAAGCGCGATGCATGCTACCGGATGTATCTTTCGGAAACGAGTCTAGAGGCCAATATAGGAGAATGAAACGAGGATGGGAGGGTGAGTGATGGGTCGAACGGCCACCTTGTAGCCTGAGGTGGCATTGAAGTGAAAGATGGATCATCCTGGATAGTATCACGTCCAGTGGCAATACCGACCCGCGACCGATGGGTTCGGACAGCAGATACTCGGGTGCGATCACCACTGTCGCGGGGTCTAGGCGAGTGGGGCAAGCAGAACGCAACGCTACGTTCAACACGAGGTGTGTGAGCCTCGAATTCGAGAGGCGTCTCGGGTGTAGGATCCTCCGCCGCGATAGACATCTGCGCAGCTTCAAGCTGGGGCCGATTCTGCGGGGCCTCCTCGTATACAGGTCCCGACATCGTCAGGACGATCGCGTAGCTCTTGCATGGGTTTCGACGGATACCCTCGAACCCCTCCCACTTCTCAAATCGGGCTTCAACTTGACGCATGTCGTCTCCGAAGGTAGGGCGAATGACTGGGTGACGGGCGCGGACCATGGTGAAGTCGACGTGCGCCCTGGGACAGGTAGGAATGGTCTGCTCGGGCCCAGAGATCTTCGGTAGGACTTGATACTGGGGTACTTGCGAAGCGTTCACAGTGTCTGAAATTGAAGGTAGGGGCACAACCACGACTTCTACCCAGGCTTTGTGTAGTGGGCAACCGTGGGTCGTTGAAAACGGTGTCACCAGGCAGTGGCACTTCCCGAGCCCGACACGCAGTTCGATCCGCTCGCGGCGCTCCAAATCGACGAATGATATGACAGAGAAGATGGAGTGATCTACTTGATCCTGGGTGAGATGGCAGGGAACGGTCAGGGCGACCTCGTCGACATCACCCTGCTCACATACTAAACCGTGGTGCGTCGCTAAACGCTTCAGGTTCCACTGCGGAAGGACAAATGTAAAGTGTGGGATGGGCATCATGACTTCATGGATGGGACCGTCGGGGTGAATGTGGGCGATTGTGTCCGGGGGGCCTTGATGGTGAATGGAGAGCGCCTCCCATCTAAATTTCCTGTAGTCAAACGAGCGCAATGCTTGCTTTGCGACGTTGTGAGAATCGGTAGCAGAGTATCCTTTCACCTGGCCCGATTCGGATCGATCGATTTCCGACAGTAGGCTTTGGCGAAGCAATGCGCCACGGTGATAGTGATGCTCGGCGGAGCCGTCGATAAATTCGCCGACGGCGTAATGCCGATTCCATGTTAACCTGGAATCCTTGGTCCGTCGCAGAATGAGAACGAGCAAGTCCCCATTCGCATTCTCGCAAGCGAGGAGACCAAGGTGGGTGGACTGAGTGTTCGCGCGACCTCTCCACGACATCCACTTATTCTGGGGATCAATGCTGTCGCAGGACAGGGGAAGCCGCAAGCGGATGCCGTGGCTAATGAGAGTGTAGTCGGGCATCCGCGTTTCAAGTCCGAGTGTGGCCGCGAAAGCGATGATGCTAACGGATCTGTATCCGGCTGAGTTGGCAAAATCAGACGGTGAGGGGGCTAAGAGATCTTGCATCTTTGTTTGTGCTTCGAAGGCGACATCACTGTGGGTGTTACGCAGACGGTGTATTGTATGTTCGGGTGTGTTGGTATTCTCCATCTCTTCACGCGCGGCCTTAATATCGGGGTGAATTAGGCCCCAGGCAAAGACACTCTGGTCGGGTATTCGCCGTAGGATCTCTTCTTGGAGGCGAACAAACGCATGAGCGCCTTCCCCGTAGATCGTCGGCATGTTAATGCCGAAGATGCCCAAAAGTGAATACGCACGATCCTCGATGCGTGTTGTGATGCGTCTCGATGCCCAGGACATGCGCTGGGCGACGCTGACGCTGTCAAGCGAGCGCTCGTGCGTGAGGACCTCCTTCTGGATCGCAGTGATTTGTTCCACGACATCGGCAAGCATGTGCTTCGAACCTAAGGTATGCCAAGTCTGGGTGAGGAAGACGACGCGAGCGGGGGCGATGAGTTCTTGTAGTGTCCACCCTCGCTCATACCACCTGCTCTGTCGGAAGAGGGAATCAAGGACGCTGGGATCTTCGTCGTCTGGGACATCGTATAGATAGGCATAGCAGATGTCGGCATCGGCGTACCAAGCAAACATTGAGTTGATCGCCTCGGAAAGCTCGGCGCTGCTGTTCTGATCGATGCAGCAAGTGTCTATCCAGACCCATGCGTAGCCCGCTCGCTCGGCGAAGATGCAGAAGTTGCGAATTTTGACAGAGACGTGGTCCCGTGGGTTCTCGCCTCTCCGAGAACACTGAATGCTGAGGGCCTGCACGTCGGAAAACGACAGCTCGTTGCGGACGTCCTGCCATACATGGGACAAGATGGCATATCGTACTTCTTGGGAGCCGGTGAAGTAATGCAGTTCAGCTGTCTTGGTACTTAGTAGATACATGTGATCTATGCTGCGGGATCGTGAGCCATTGTAGAACGGTAGCATCTGAACCGTGAGCGTCATGTTGTGACTTACTTAGATGTGTTGGGTTTGGTGGCGGATCAAGCAAAGGCTGCACTGCGGAGAGTACGAAAAGCTGGTGTGAGACGACAGGTAAAGAGCCAAACTCATCGATGCTTGGAAGGGGCATTAAAGGGGTTCATCGCTCATCGATGTTCTGGGGTTTCGGGCCGCGCCCACTGACAGCCATACGCCGGGACTTTTCGTCTATCGCAGAGAATACGTTAGCTAACGTGTCAAGGACACGTGTCGAACTATTACGCGAGTACACTCGCATCCGCATGAGTATGGTCCTGTCGTATAGCTGGAAAACGGACGTTGGTGATGACATAGAATTCGAAGGTAGTGGTGCGCGGAGTCTGGGAAGACTTGGTGGCAGTCACAAGGCAACTCGTCAACCGTGGCTAGTACTGACTCGAACCGAATGCAGAACTGACGGCGCTAGAAATCGTCGTAGCGGATGCACAGCCGCTCCGCGGCAAGGTCCTGTAGTGTAGTGGTTTATCACTTGGGATTTTGAACGTGTCGGTTGGGCAACGCACCCAGGTTGGCCGGCGGACATGGATCTTCCCAAGACCCAGGTTCGAACCCTGGCAGGACCTCTTCGTTTTTTCTCTCGTATTCAATCCGGCCGCCTGGCACACACGCTCTTGAGTCTCAGACGCTATCTGCCCCGACTTCATTCGCAGCTATTCCGAACAAATACGGTACGCACTACATGACGATACTCAAACACTAAACGTTAGCCGTCGTTTGCCTCCTCACTCCCAACAGTGCCTAGTCCGAAGAATGTACAATCCCTCCCTTCGCCATATTCCACCCAAGTTGTTCGTACGTCCAACCAAAGATCGTCCCATCGCTGCTGTAGTTGTGGTATGACAACAGAGATCGATGCATACTGGCCTTCTTGTGGATCCCGGCCAGACTCGTCATTTCCTCGTCCGTAAGGTCAAGCAACTAGTAAGCATGCCAGATCCACCAATTAGTTGAACGAGGATCGTATGGCGTAGCCAGTAAGGTGGTGGTCATCAATACTGGACTCCCGGAGGTTACCTGACGATGGCGTACCGTGATGTTCTGCTTGATCCGCTCCGGATTCTCACTTTTGGGCATCACGCTGGTGCCTCTCTTCACACCCCAACTGAGAGCGACTTGTCCGGGGCTCGCGTTGTGGCGCTGTGCGATGCTCACTACGTCCGGGTCGCCCAATAAGGACGGTGCACCGTCGAAGCTACCGGGCCGGCCTACGAAGGCCCACGGTCAATTCTCATGACCATTTTTCAACGACTCGCGCAGATATGCCGCTCACCCAGAGGCGAATACGCCGTGAGAAGGATGCCTCTCTCTTCGCACCAGACTTTGAGGTCGTCGGACGGAAGGCACGGATGACACTCGACCTGGTTCGTTGCCGGGACGATCGAGCTCTCGCGAAGGAGCACCTCCAGCAAGTTGATAGAGAAGTTGGATACGCCAATCGAGCGGACCTTTCCTGTCCCAAGAATTGCCTCCATTGCCTTCCACGTCTCGACGAACGTCGGGCTCTGGCCGTACGGGATGGGCTTGTTGTCCTCAGTGAACGACTGCGGCCAATGCATGAGGTACAAGTCCACGTAGTCCACGCCGAGCTTGGATAGGGATTCGTCGAGCGACTCCCGCACTTTGTGGTGGTGGTGGTTGGGCAGCTTTGTGGTGAGAAAGATGTCCTCGCGCGGCACTCCGGACTCCCGGATAGCCTTGCCGACGAACTCTTCATTGCCATAACCATAAGCCTGTATGATAGCAACATAGCCTGCTTTAGAACCACCCCGAGATGAGCATGTAGGTATAAGTACTTACGGTATCGATGTGTCGGTATCCGACCTGCTCGAAAGCGTGAATTCAGAATGCCGCATCTATATTGAAACGAGGAACACATACGTTGAGCGCTTCCCTACACATCTTCTCCGCAACTTCGCCACCTCCGGGAGACCCCATCCAGCATCTAAGGCATGAAAATTAGCCCTTATCCTCTATGACAACACGTGGTCGCTGCGAGCTACACCGTGATATACGTGCGACACGCCGGTAGTAGTAATAAATCACTCCGCTTGTTCCCCCGCCATAGTAGCGAGTTGTTTCGCATCTGGTTAGGGACTTTACTCACCCTATACCAACAGAAGGGATCTTATAGCCGGTGTTTAGCGTGAAGTTTGGAATATCTACAGCCATATAACAGAAATGCGAGTATTCCTAGGTTTCGACTAAGAGCCTGAGGAGGCTGATCAGGTTGAAGCAAGAAACTCGCGGAGCTACTGGTGCCACAACCCTTTAAATACTTTGTAGCGCCGTCCCGGAGCGTGAGGTACGTACATGGATTTAGTATATCTTAGAGGTGCCGGTCGGGGACCAGAATAACTCTTCGGACCGGCCGAATCTTGCGTTCAGCAGATGACCGCTCACGAGCACTCACGGCCCGGCAGTTCGGCGCCCGGGCCATCATCATCCAGGTCGATGCAAAATGGCCCCTTGACACTTTGCGGGACTCCAGAAGACTCGGCCACAATCCCGCAACGGGGACAGCCTAATTTACCATGCACGATGACGGCTGTCCGTGTCCGCTCCGTGCGACACTGCACATACCAGAATGGGGAGGGTGTAGCAGTGTGCAAGATCGTATCGTCAAATATTTGCGTTGTGAACCCGCTGCCTGTCAACTTGATGAACATAACATTAAGGCTCTATCCCTCTCTTACATACATCCCTATGAGAAGCATGCAGTATGGGTGTTCTCGGTTTAGGCATTCTGCACACGCAGCAGGTTAGACTAAGCATCTACACTCGACATCCACAACAAAGTTTACGCCGGGTACGCCAAGCTGAGTTCCGTCACGTAGTCGATCGCCTCAGCACGGTAGGTATCTAGTGAGAGCGCAAGGGGCACTTCGCCATCTTGGAATGTGAGGAGTTGCGGATTGTCTTGGGTGTATCGAGGCCAATGGAAAGCTCCGTCCCCGTTGGGATTCAAAGTGCTCGCGAAGCGGATGAGGTAGTCCGCCATATCGCCACAGCCGTACACATTAGGAAGCTCGGAACCGTGTGCCTGTTGTGAGGATGTTTCAGTATAGATGAGAGAAGTAGCGACGATTGAGCCGTACCGCGCCGATGCCATTGATCTTTCCAGCCTTACTCACTGCGGAAAGGGGTTAGTGCGTACTGACATATGCAAGAGAGTGTGCACACAGAAGGCGTAAACCGGCTGTACTCTGGAGAGCTGCCTTGTGAATAGTCGCCTTGGTGCCTGTTCTATCCAATCACCCTGGAATGCTGATATGCGCTTGTATTGTGGTGAGTATGCGTAAGCGTCTCCGGTTCCGAAAGGAGACCCAGCCGCGGGATCGGCAGGATATAGCTTTAAAATCTTCTCGATCTCCTTCTTTGATGCCTTTGGGAAGAAATTCGTCGATATGTAGGCGGCAAATTCCTCGTCGGTCCTAGCCATCGTTGAGTAGACCTAGGGAGCAGCGGCTCGGTAGCTTACGTCACATTGAGAGAGGGAAAAGCAAACGCGCTTCCTTCGTCTTCGACATTGCCTGCCCACAAAGCTCTCAGTACCGAGACACCAAAGACGGTTTGCAAGGCAAACGAAACACACACCGACGACGATGGGAATCCTTGCTATGTTACCCCTCAAAAGCAGGTATTCCGGAGGTTCAGTCACGAAAACACCGTCCGCATGCGCATTCCAAGGAGTGTTTAATTGCTGGTAGAAACTCATTGCGGTCAGACTGTATAGGTTGGTGCTAAGGACACGGCTTACCACGTAGTCCACGAAAGACGGCGACTTGTTCATGGCTGCCCTGAGCACATTTGCGGAAATAGAGCGCAGACACTCCAACGAGTCTTTCGTATTCGAGCAACCGGCGTCGTTTACGATCTGGTCGTATGTATTCTGCAACTCTAAAATATCACCATACGGACCTGGCGCCCCGGATTCGAGGAATCCTGCACGAAATAAGCCTTCGTTGTCGCCGTCATTTGTCAGCATATGTAAAGCTACTGAGATGGACCCAGCGCTTTGCCCCCAGCTGGCAAGATCATTATCGTAGGCTGTCATGTGTGCAGGGTGACTGTAGAGAGGACGTACATCGTCACCTTGAAGGGATCACCTCCGAATGCAGTAATATATTTCTGGATCCATCTGAAAGCTTCCCTCTCTGGTAGCATGGGTTGTCAGTAAGAACTCTCGCAGAGGTAGTCGCAATACAAACTCACGGTCTTGTAATCCGAGGTTTCCAACTCCAGCCTTCTTAACCTCTTTACCGCCTAAAAACCCAAATGCTAGAAACGCATGAGAATTGCGGGCGACATAGTGCTCAACAAGTAGGCTTTTACCGCTTAATCTATTCGATTGCGGATGGTGAGGGAAATTCGCACGTCATCCTTCAGGATATCAGGCTGATTGTGGCATACCGATAATTCATTGCCACGTATATGATGGGGTAGCCTATTTCGATAGATCGCGCTACTATCGTTTCTCCTGGCTCTCTGTTTCAGACGTCAGATTCAAGTTCTGTTACCGGGTGTCAGGAAAGCGATGGGAACCCACACGGCATTCGAACCATGCTGATATCCACCTTGCGGAAGGAATTGATCAGGCACGCTCAAAACCATGCGATGTCTAGAAGCGCACCCCCGTAGATCCACTAAGTTGAGGTGAACAAACACAATGAGACGCTGATCCAAAAGGGCAGTAGTAGATAGTTGACCGTCTTACCACTAATACAGGTAGTTTTGAGAACAGTGTGGAATTGGTAGGCACGATAACATTCAGGTTGAGGCCTGGAGTCGAGGCCAATGTCACGACATAACGCAAATCAGTCTCACAGGGTCGAGAACGCACAATCTTCGCTTTGGGGGACGTCCACAATCGAGATAAAATCTTTGAGATATCGTTGTGCTGCTATGGGGACGTCTGCCGGAAACGGGCTAAGTACCAAGTCTTGCTGTAAGCACTGATTCCCGAACGTGGTCGCGTCGATTAATCCGTGATATGGTGGAACAGGGCGTGGGAGATGCAGCCTCAGGTCCTCAATACTGTTGTCGCCATTAGCTAGACGCAAGTGACTAGAGGGTAGAATGAAGTCAGTGGAAGAGGCTTACGGAGGCTGGGCATAAGGGATGCCGAGAAACCGAGTTGTCGTCCCATCCGTGGCGCCAATGATCGTTGCGTTATCTAGAAACACGACTGGGAGGGGAGCCGGGTTTGAGGTCGCGGCAAGTGCTTGGTATGCTCGCACCACGAGCACAAAGATAGAGGGAGAAAGCATCGTCTTCGGGAGAACTTAGGTCGATGGGGAAGGGCCGCGTCGGACACCGGATTCGGTGCCCTTGTCTGTCGGAACCCTTTATAGCTGAGGCGTGGGCGGCACTCGGAGCAAGTCATCGGCAAAGTATTTCAGAGAGGATGGGATGTTCCAAACTAACCCGATTGTATTGCATCCCGTAAGCTTGCTTCTATTATCAAAAATCCAAGCAGCCCGATGACAGCATTGGCCACGAGTGTAGTATCATTTTTCTCGCTTTAGAGAATATTCTGTGGGTTACTAGTCAACGGATCCAATGT